GTGACAAATGGGATACTCCAGTACAAAACAATCACTGATAACAAGATAGAATCACAGAATCATAGATCACAAGGCTGAAAGAGACCTTTATGACCAAGTCCAGCTGTCCATCCCGCACTACACCACTCTAACCCCTAAACCACATCACCCAGCACCAGATCCAAACACCTCTTAAACACCTCCAAGGATGATGGCTCCATCACCTCCCTAGGCAGCCTATTTCAATGCCTGACCACCTTAACAGTGAACTAATTTTTTCCTAATATCTAGTTGGAATCTCTCCTGACTCAGCCTGAAGCCATTTCCTCTTGTCCTCTCACCGCAGGCATGGCAGAAGTGCTCAGCCCTCATCTCACTATAAACTCCTTTCAGGTAGTTGTAGAGAGCAGTGAGGTCACCCCTGAGTCACCTCTTTTCAAGACCAAATGAACCCAATTCCCTCAGCCATTCCTCAAAAGACAGGTTTTCTAGACCTTTTGCAAGCCTTGTTGCCCTTCACTGGACTTGCTTCAGTGCCTCAATGTCCTTTCTAAAATGAGGGGCTCAAAACTGTACTTAGTACTCAAGGTGTGGCCTCATCAATGTCAAATACAGGGGGATGATCACTTCCCTAGTCCTGCTAGTCACACTCTTCTTGATAGAGGCCAGGATGCCATTGGCCTTCTTGGCCACCTGTGCACACTGTTGGCTCATATTGAGCCACTGTCCACCAGCACCCAAAGTCCATTGCCACAGCTTGCAAGCCACTCCACCCCCAGCCTATAGTGCTGCATGGGGCTGCTCTGACCCAAGCGCAGGACCTGGCACTTTGCCTTACTGAACCTCATTAAGTTGTCCTTAACCCACTATTCAAATCTGTCCAGGTCTCTCTGTAGAGCCTTCCTACCCTTGAGGAGATCAACAATGGCAAATTCTACACCCACTAGGTCGCTTAAACTTAACTTGTTTGCTTTTTTTCCCTTTATAGACCTGCATGTACATGGTTGTCAGATTCAGCCACACCTTTATATCACATTGCAGATAATGATTGCTTCAATCAGTATTAACAATGTGCAAGTGCAAGTTTTGCACAAGCGTATAATCTCCCCATGATTATACACCAAATATGCATTAGAAATTCTCACCAGGAAAAATTACAAAAGCAGCACTCAATCTCCTTTTAAAATGCTAGTTTTCATAATGCCTCTAAGAACAGTGCAGCATCTCAGTATTCTATTACAGAGTGTATAAGAAACAGTTTTAACAGAACGTGAAATGGATCCCATATACGTGAGACCCAACAACTCCAATGCCTTTCAGACAAAACCTGACAGATCTACCCTCAATGGAAAAATACAGGGAACAAACCAAACCAATCAAAAATATTCAGCCGCAAACAATTTAACAAGGATAGTGCAAATATATTCTTCAATACAGGAGTGATAATCTTCATGCCATCTTCAGCATAATATCCAGTGGGTATGGACTGCCCAAAGAAAAGTGCAATTGTGTGGTGAACGGAAGCATGACAAATTCCTAAGAACATCCAAAAGTAATTGAACAAATGTGGGTATGCTCAGTAAATACAAAATATTGTTGGAGGAGACTGTCTATGAATAAGACAAGTATTATGCCATAAAAATTATGAAAATCAGGCAGTTTTTCACCAACCAGCAAAATGTTCACAGCTGACAATACTAACAGGCACTGCAGAGATTCCCTGTAGTGGGATGCACTGAATGAGTAAGAGAAAAAGGAATTCAAAGAGCTGCAAAAACAGGAGTAGTGTGTACACAAATTCATAAAAGATGCAAAAGAAATACCCAATTATGTGCAAAAAGAAAAAAGTTCAAAAACCTTTGCTGCAAGAGCAAGAAAATCTGACTGCACTTTGAGCTCCACATTAGGAATCTAATACATGCTAAGACACAAATGCTGTCTTCTCCATACTTACCAGCATACAGAGGAGATGAAAAGCTCTTTTACCCAGCTTCATAGGGATTACTGTGTTAACTCTGTAGTCCTGAACACTTGAATCCAGAATAGTTAGAATGAGCTTGGCCAGTGAAAGTTATGTTTATATGACACTCACCGATACAAAGATCCCTGTAGAAGGTGTCTCAATAAGCATGAATTACAAAAGCACTGAAAGTGGTCTAATTTACTCTATGAACTAACTAAACCCACATTTTCAACAATATCCAGTTTCAAAATAAGCCTGCGGCTGATGTTACTTCGGGAAGAAAAATATCCAAATAGTGCTCAAGGAAAATAAAAAAAGCATTGCAATTCTTCATTTTATGAGTGTCTTTGTAATGTTTCATTGAAGGGCCAAAAAGTGACTGTTAATGATGAAAATTCACTTGAAGACATACCCTCCTTTCAGTATCCCTAACACAAAAATGCCCACACTCTAACTATATTGGACTAAGAATACTCTCTCACCTGTGAAAATGAAATCACTTCTTTTCTCCCAAACATAGACAGGGAGATGAATGTGTTCTTAAAAATCAAGTAAGACTAAGGAGTAGAAAACTGCTCATGACTCAGCCTGAAAAACAAGAACATCAAACAAAATGAAACCCATAGCCACTACCAGGGGAAAAAGAACATTCATGATTTTCCCCAGAACACAGAAAAAGATAGGCATCTGGTGAAACTTCAGCACTGTAGGACTAGATACTGATTTTCAAAGCTGATCCCTGATGAACCTGTGCCTGTTCATCACTTTGGTCCATGGCTATAGAGTTGACCATCTTACCTGGATACATAATGTAGTTCTGACAGTTGCCCTGTCACCAGGGTACTTTCCTGGGTGCAGCTGAAACAGCTAACTGAAAATGTGATGCCATTGATTGACCTCAAACAATACCAAGCACCAAGCTGACCTCTGTCAGCACAGGGACAGAGTACCTCTGCGTGGTAACCTCGCCCTGAAACAAATTAGTTTTGTTAACCTGGAATCCGCACCCCAAAAGAAAAGTCAAGGTGATATAATATAAATTGACCTTATATTTCAGCACCACATGTAGAATTGCATGTACATAATATGCTGAAAGGGGTTTCTGTAGGCCTAAATGTAGAAAGTACATATCATGCCCAACTTACACAAAAAAAAAGGTAGCTAAATAGTCAGTTTAAAGGTGTAGACAAAAAACTATTAGCCAGAAACCATCAATAAACACTTCCAGCTGCCTAGTATGTATTTGAATAGAGAATTTCAGTGCTTGGTCACATACAGCAGGGTTTTAAATCAGCTGCTTCTGTTCTCATTTTAGAGAGCAGGGTACCTTAGGAGTTCGGGTACACTAGAGAATCCAAGTGAAGCATTGAAGGACTTTCTTGGAACTCTAGCAATAGAAAAGATAAGGAATCGTCCACTCACTATCAAGAAAACCCAGCCCATCATGCTGCCTAAAACCCAGGCAACCAAATTCAAGTCCCAAACTCAAGTATAGGGCTTTGAGATAATCAAGACCTACATTTTTAGCATCATCAGTAATCTCATAACTCTTCTACAAAAAGCATATCTAATTATATGACCTGGAACTATACTAGGTCTTTATAAGACGAAAAGAACAAGCTGAAAATCTTTTACTTCTGGTGCTAGGTGTTTCTTCAAGGAAGGGGTATAAGTTTGCCTCCTCTCTATGGATAACAAATTTCATTAAAAGAATTATAGGACATGAAGCTTTTTACACATCTTGGTCAGTTATTACCACAAATCCATTTACAAGCTACAGAAGTCACTATCTAAATGCTGTAAACAGACTTACTGATTATCCTCACTTTCTGCTCTACTTGAAAAAAGATTAAGAAGTTTGCAGCATGCTTGTCATCTGAATTTAGGGGAAGCCATAAAGTTTTCTTGTATATTTTATCCATTCTTAAATGTTATGAAAAAAGATAATCAGACTTTTATTCTGTCTTTTAAGGTAGGAACCTTGACTACCCTGCT